TTTAGCAATGCGGCAGGAAGCAGGATGCTCACCAATCTTGAGCCGGAAGTTAGGAACAGGGTGTACTGCATCCTGCATCCTGAAGATTATCACACGGATGATACGAGTGAAGAGGAAGATGATGATGAAGAGGAGGACGAGAACGACGAAGAGGAAGAGGAGAATGTCGAGGAGGAAGAGGAAGGAGACACCTTATTTCAGTGAACTGTACTCCACTGATTTCTCCACTGCGTTGAATGTACTACGGGCAATGTTTTTAAGAGTTTTATTCAGAACTATATTAAGGCATTACAAAGTACCGTATAGCACGAAATTTTTGTGGTAGTTTTGTTTTGCAAATAAAAGTAAGAAAACGATCTCAGCAGTTTAATAGTCGCTAGAACAACATTTCACCTATCAAAAACCTGTTGCTGTTGAAGCGCTGTTATTTGTAGTTGGTTTTATTGATATAAACGTTGCTAAGAATTTTTTCTTCTTACTTTGAAACTGTTTCAGAATATTAAAGATGTTTATATTTCGTGAAAAAAGCAGGAGAATTTCTCATCAATTTATGAAAACTTCATACCACTTTTTCATCGCTTTTTTTTTCGCTTGACCCCCCCTTTTTCTTAATTTTTTTGGGGTGGCCCCCCCTTTGAAGCCATTTTTTTTCGCGTGGCCCACCCCCCAAATCCCACCAGCGCCCCCTATCCCTTAAAAAATGAACGGTCCCTCAGACATATAAAATTGTAACATGGACTTGTTTCACGATTCTTTAAAAGTGTGGGTTTCAGGATCCGTCTGTGAAGAAAAAGCAATACGAAGTTTTAAAGTCCCTAGTATTGAGGGGAAACGATGTTTTAGCCGTGGTGCCAACGGGCAATGGGAAATCTCTTATTTACTGTTTTTACTATTTACTCTTATGTACCAACGTCATAACTCTCAGAGTTTTGTCTATCCAATTAACCTTCCACTTCTTTAGTCTCCAACAGTGTGTAACTATGACCCTTTTTCTAATTGACCGCCTGTCGAAATACAAATTCTGTCAGTCTCATGGAAACATTTATTTACATAGCAAAATAAGGCTGCGAGGCCTGCGGATAGTTCCGTTGGCTGTTCGCTGAAAATTGAAGTTTCTCCCTGCATTCACAAAGGGGTTGGCATTTGACCAGATGCCTCTTTACTTTCTTGAGCCTGGTCCACCGTAGCTGGTTGTGCAAGGCTTTCCGAGATGCTCTTTGTTCCACCTCCCAAGATGTCCACATCTGGGTCAAAAAGCTTTGAAACGAAGAACTCAGCTAAGTAATACCTCAGACCATTGTTGATTATCAAAAGCATCAAACTCACAACGGCTTTTATGTCGGGTGCATCATCATGGCTGCCTGGCGGATTTGGCACAGTAAGGACTTTGTAGACAGCGATCGTCGAACCAAGGATGGCCATTGTGTAACCCTCAAGCACATACACGAGTAAAGCTGCTTTGTAAAGCCCCAGCTTCATTGCAGAATTTTTTTGAGACAGACCACCTGCGTCTGAGGGAAGAAAGTTCAAGAAAAGTGCCACTACCACTGCAGAAGACTTTTCGCACATGAAAAGGACGTACGACAGCGTTTTGAATGTTTCTGACCTGCTCAACATTGTCAGAAGGTCGTAGATGCACACCGAAATAAGTGTGACAACGAGCTTCCAGAAGTATTTTTTCCTGATCAGGTGCTGTAAAACCGGCAGAAATCCACAGAAATGGTTCAAGCAGCGTACATAGAAGATCAAGAACAAAGATGTTAAAGCACACAGGAAGAGCCAGGCACTCTCAAAGATCTTAGGACTAGGGAAAAGAGAAAATCTCTCACAAAGTGCCGTGGTATGAAATTCCCTGACGAAACAGTCCGACGCCCAGACGATGAACATGGAGAGGCCAACCAACCGGCCCAAGAGAACCAGCACCGCGCATACCCACTTGAGCGCGACAAAAAAACCTGAGACGGCACTTGAAAACCTTTCAGATCTTAGACGGCGGACGTTGTCCTTGAGAAGTACCACCTGCAACAATGTCAGAAAGAGGAAAGTGTGAGAACTTCACGGAGACGATTTAAGGGGGCCGGATGACCTAACGACGGAGACAATCTAAGTACTTCGCGTCTCATGTCCACGACAAATTTATCCAACAAAGTTGACGTATATCAATACGTCAACTGCCATTTAGCAAACAGGTCATTTAATCTACGTCATCATTCCTTTTTTTTGCTCAAGTTTGTTTACTCGAGTTAAGCTGGGAAATCCCCTTCCCTTCACCTCACGGTTACGAATCGAACTAAGTCATGGAGAAAAACGGCTAACTTGTTACTCCGCTTTTATTGGGAAGGGTATTCTGTCTGCCGCGTTTGGATTGACTTCAACGGGTGATATGCTTTCACTTTCTTAGGTGGTTTCCCCTACCGGATTGACAAGGCCCTGACACATAGAGTAATTCAAGCTGTACTTGATCTTTCTATTAAAAATTCTGGTCTAGCTTTGTATGGCTTGTTGCATCTACGGCAAATTTTGCCAACAGAGTCGTAGTATTTCACAGGTCAACTGCAATTCAATGTGCAGGTAATTTAAACCCACATAATTACTCCTTTTCATGACTCAGATTTCGTTACTCTAGTTGAGCTCGGGAAAATCCCTTCCTTTCAACTCCTTCAGTGGAAATCGAATTAAGTTTTCGTGCAGGCAAACAGATGACAACTTGCGATTCCGCTCTTATTCATCGAAAGAAACGCTTGATCACAAGTTTGATAGAATTGGGAAGCTTTTCAAAAGGTTCTTTGGAAAGTTTCCTTGAAATCTTTTTTCAGAGCTTACTTGGTTTCACTTTCGCTGGTATTTTTCCCTTACCGGATTCAGACGTGTAACGTAATCTCGGTAAAATGCGCTTGATGTTTGGAAAACAATTCTGGTATAGCTTTCTATCTTCATTAATGCTCGAAAGAATACAGTAAAATACAATCCTAGAGCCGATTGGTCAAAGCAGAAAAAAGCGAGGAGACTAACATCAATTTGGCCGTACAGGGATACTCCAATTGATGTGGTTTCCTGTGAATTTTTGCTCTACATTCTGACTAAACGGCTTTCAAAACAAAGTTTGAAATGATCAGTCAAACCCTCTCGACAACAAGTCAAACAGAAATCGTTAACTTTCAATCTTTAGCTAGGGTAAACCGACTTTTGATTAACCGGGATGTGAAGAAAAAGGTTTTTAACAAGTAAATTGCGAGGGAAAGACTTTGCCAAAATATTGTGAGAAACCGTATTTGGTCAAGCAGGAATAACAATCAGTAGACTTGCATTCGTAATACATGAACTAGGACCCACCTCCTCCCCTTGTTCCGGATGGCTCATTATTCTCTTCTTGACTCTCAGTAGATATTGCAAACAGCGAGACAATGGAACAAACCCTGCGTTTAGAAACACTCTGAAGCGGAAACTGAACTGGTTTCACTTTCCGGAAGCAGAAATAGGTAGAGTCCGCTGGCTGCATTAGGGACCTTACGCATAACACAGCGGTCAAACGTCGGGCATGCGCAAATGGGTGCATTTTTTGGCAGCCGCGCGCAGATTTCCCGCACAAAAATTTAAAGGAAACGTGGGAAACAACCGGTGTCACGCAAAATTTACAGAAAAAATTGAAAAGTTCATAGAAATCTGTAAAAGGAAAAGAAAGTAGGTAAAAAGGAAAACTTAAGACTTTTCAGACACAAAGTTTATCAAGTTACCGGTGTTCTGTTGATTTACCATTCTGTTTTTAACTTTACCAAAAAAGGTTTATAAGTCTTGAAAACCCGTGTCATGCTACGAGCCGACGGCGTAGTATATTTTTATCTGTTTTTATTAATCATACGATGCGTGACGCCGGAAACGGACGACAAACGGTGTGTAAAAGAAGGAAAAATGGGAGAAGAAAAAGACAATTGCAGTGATTCGGCTTCGCTCAGACGAGCTGGAAAAATTTTGGCAAGGACTGAGGGATTCCATCCGGATCCTTGATTTGTCTGAAGCACAGGAACGAGATGAATCGAAACGACAAACGATGTTCATGTCCATCGTCATGGGGGCATAGCTGGCCAAAATACCGATCCCAAACCGCCTGTACCTGGTCTTTGACCAGCTGGGAAAATCGTTTCTAAACTATAAACCTGGAAAAAACTGGTGCACTAAATGCAAAGTCGAGGCGGACAAAAAATTCAAGGAGCACGGAAAATACATACCGCGGAAAAGAAAAGCCTGCAACAAGCAGAAGTTACAACAATTTTTAACTCTTATTTCTGCTAGCTCTCGTTGTACAGGCTAAAACATAAACAAATATATCAATAACGAGGAAAATATTATTTATAGGATGCCGATGAACCACGAAAAGAACAATGCCATGAAAATATTTCGGCCGCCTTTTAGTTGCTCCATTGCTCGCACATGCGCAGACGTATGACCGCTGTGTTCTTACGCATATAATTACACCCGTCGCTCTCCAGAATTTTGTGGCAACGCGCTAAAATTAGACCTGACTGAATAAGCCAATCAAATGGGAGCATATAGGATCGCTCCGTGTTTAAGGACGTTTGTTTCTGCGCATCCTTACTGCCTATGCAAATTAACTCGCCACGTCATGCATGAGAGCGCGCGCTGAGTAATAAAATGAACAATAGTAGGGCAGATGGCCATTGCTAAAGCTTTGCCTGGATTTAACGATCTTGGACGTTCGGTGACCCCTATTTTTCTTTTGATGGATCATTTTCTCTACCGATTTTCTACGTTTAGCGAGAAAAGAGAAAATCTATCGACTAGAAGTTTGATTTTTTTTTTTGCAAAATGCACCATCGAATTCCGTTCTTTTTAGCTCTTCGTTTATCTGTGCGGCAGTTTCAAATGCCTCTTAAAAGGTTACGTTTTGTGAAAACGTTGGCAATATTTATTAACGCAATGGCGTCACTTATACAAAATATTACTAGAGTAGTTTGCTTCCGTTGATTCATCTTTGTCATTTTAACCTAAAAACCTAGGAGACCATTCTGATTTATGTGCGCCAATTTTTCAAAATCAGACTAGTTTTCCACACGCTTTATCTCTGAAACAAAGTCCGTAACCCTCAATTTTTCTTCCTATCTAAAACAATTAATTCATTGTCTGTCCGCAGGAGAAGTTTGAAGAAAATCTACCAAATAGAACATTTTCGGGCAAACGTCCTTAATTCTTCCTCGCATGAAAAGTTCAAGAGAAATTATAAAACGGCTCTTTGTGGAGCCATTAAAAACGGCTCTTTTCAGAGCCACAAAACAAACAAACAAAACAAAAACAAAAGTCTTGTTCTTCGTTTGCTTTGATTCTTTTGTCATTGTTTTGTTGATGAAAATAATATCCATCTCGTGGATTTCCACGATACACATTAAACGATATGTAGCTTTTCCAAAGTAGAATAACTGCGGATCCTTAAATCATTTGACCTTAACTCCGTTTTGACAAGGCAAACGTCAAAAACAGTAGCCCACAAGCCTGGTCTTGACTACCTTTCCCGAGTACTTTTGCCCGAATCATCAGCATTCTGCCAGAAAAAATTTCAAACATTTCTGAAACTGGAGGGGCTACCCTCCCCCCCACCCCAACCCTCACCCCTGCCTCTCGGCCCGTAGGCCTATGTCTTCACTTTTAAAAGTTTTATGGTCTTTATGGGATCATGAATCATGAATCATCAATGTCATGAATGTACGCCAAAAACTATTTAAAAACTGGAAAAACACTCTATGCAGTGGCATAAACATGACATTTCTCTCTTTATTGAACTCAACGGACAAACAAATAAATATGAAGCGTCTTTATTATTTAATCCCAAATATTTCCTACTAGTCTACGCAAGTTAAATATAATTTTTATTATCTATATATAGTTAAAATTAGTCGCTCTTATAGTTTATTTATCGATGTTTAAGCGAAACAAATTCAACTCAGTTATAAATGAAGAAAAAATATTTAAGTTTTTTTTTCTCAGAGAAAGTGTTGAATATATTACAGTAATCTAGACCTTAAAAGACTATTACGCAGGAGACTAAATGTGTGAACGTGGCTATGTCTGCTTGTTAAGGCATCGCGCTAAGAACATAGCTTCTCACTGCGCGGTCCAGGTGCATGGGGCGGAGGTATGGGTGAAGGTCGGCAGAGATATGGGAAATATTGTGTTAAAATTTTCGAACACTCAACGGAAGAAGCAAAAAGAAAAAAAAAACTGATCATAACCAAGCGAGGTCTGTAGGAACTTCAAGTTCGGTTGAGCTCTATTTACTGGTTCGATCCCCAGCTTCTTTCTTAAATATTTCCGTCTTGAATCCAAAAGATTTTAATAGCGGTGCCCCAGATAAAAAATCGGCTGCTCCCCTGAAGGAGCTAAAAGGGATCCCCAGTGAGGATGTTTGCGTCTGTTTAGGAGAGTGGTACAATAAAAGGAAAGCCAACTGTAGTGGATAATTTTCCGTAAAAAATGGTGGGTAAATTCTTTGTTGAAGAGACAATTATTCAATGGTTGATACTTGTTTCCTTGTGCAATGGTCTACTGCTGTTCACTTAATTTCTACTGGGTACTTTTATGTTTTGTGTTAACGTGAATATACTATGCATTAAAGAGACGAGTCATTCTAACACTCTGCAAAAAACGAATCCAGAACGCACATATCTTAGGTAACTTTTAACAATTGATAATTTAATTTAACTATACGTAGAATTGTTATATTTTAGCATTGAATATTATGATTATCCATAGGTCAGTCTTCGCTTGTCAAAGGTAAGTCTCCAGTCTATACGTGGCTTAGCCGTAAAAATCCGGGCCTCTTGGAGCGGGTTGATTAATTGATTCTTGAAACAAAAGAAAGCACCGCAAAGGATCAATAGAGGTAAAGTTTCCAGTGACAACTGAGGTTCAAGGGAGTGTCTTAATGAAAAATTTACGATTCAGTAGTAGACAACTTATGTCCTTAGCTGATATTTACAGGCTGCTTCAATTTCGTAGCCAGACTCTTTAGACTACTCGGTCAATGCTGACCAAAGTGGGAGTGGACACCTGGTTGATTGGCATCTTTTCATTGTGAATAATCGTGATAGCTTCCTGATTTCGGCAGGACCTGTTCTAGAATGGTGCAGACGCTTTTACAGAGCCTTGTGACTAAACCGCTTCCGTATGGTCACTTGCGAAGAGCCTTCGATTCCCTTGACTAGCGGTACACTAATAGTTTAGCTGGTTGACTTAGCGTTGCTCTTTATATCAAGCCATGTGCTATATTTATTGTCTAATGTAAGATGGTCATTTCAGGTCTCAAGATATGCCAACAGTAGTGCCACTGCTTAGGTCGATCAACCACCAGAGTCCATTGCGTTATTTCCAGGCCTTCAGCGTCCAACATCATCTTGTTTGCATTCGTCTCTAGCCCAGTCTCCGACCCACTTTCCTCGCTATCTGATCGGCTCCTTCGCCCCGAGCTAAGTTTCTTTGCGAGGTCTTTGAAAGTAAACGATGGGCTGCGCTTCATTTCATTTGATCCAGCAGATATCATCTTCATCGCCCGCTGAGTTTTAGGGTGTTCGTTTCTTTGAGTTTCTACTACTTCTACTTCTTGATTGGGAGGCACGGAGTTGCCGTTGTACTTTCCTTCAAGAGTTTTCTCCGCTCCTGGTGTCTCGGTCATGACAGAGCTCAGCGGGCTATCTTCTTTTGTGGATTTCTCTGTCGTTATAGCCTCCTTAACTTTTGTGCAAAATTCGTCGCCATGTTGTTCCTTTGAGTCCAGTGGATTTTCGCCGTTCTCGAGTTCGGGTTTTGAGATCACGTTGGCTTCCTTTGCATCATTTAACAGGAATTGCTCATTAATGAGGTTGCCGTTTCCTTGGATTTCAATCTCCTTCAAGCCATTCTTTCCTAAGTCATCTTCATCATGGGATTGTTTAGCAACTTGCTGCAAATTTCCTGTGTCTCCTTCATTGATCTCATTTACTTTCTTGATGTCATCACGTAAATCGCCTCCTTGTAGAGTTTCAGTTTCCTTTAAACCACTCTCTTCTTGTTTCGCTTCACAGTCAATCATTTGGGTGGAAATTTCCTGGGATACCTGTTTCTCGAACTCTTCTTTCCTAAGATCTTTATTAAGACTAACTTTTGTGACCATCAAACTAGGATTGACCCCTTTCAACTCGTCTTGTTTGCCATGCTCATTACAAAGTTCGTTCTCTTCGCTGGACTCCAGCGTGACGCTAGAACAAGCCGCGATCTCCAGCTGTTTTATGGAGGTCAATACTGACTGAAATAGTCGCTCTTCAGCTGAACGTTCTTTTTCTCTGTCCACCTTCTCGGCAGCCGAAGCATCTGGGCTTGAACCCGATTCCGGCTCTGAATTCATAGAGGGATCTGGGATTGGGTCCCAGGGCACTGCCATGTCTTCTGTGCTAGTGGAAGAGGCACTTTGTTGTTCATTCTCTGCAGCGGTCGACTTCGTTACATCATCTGAAATTTCGTCCTTTGTTGCCGGCTCATTGACAGTGATTTGTTCTTCTCCTATTTTGTTATTTACTCCTGCATCAGCATTGCCTGCGTCTTTCTCCTCTTTTCCTCCCTTGTCTTTGTTGTCAGCTGCTAAAGGCTTCCCACTAGCTCTCTTCCACTTGGCGAAGCTCGAGTTGACATTTGCCATTACAGTGTCTTTGTCGCTGAAAGACACTTTCCTCTCTCTGGTCCCCACTATTTCTTCATTGTCAATCCTCCTTCCCCCACCCACCCCTCCCTTCCCTTTAAGAAACTGGAGCACTTGACTGACTTGTTTGGTTTGCTGAGCTACGACTGCTTTGTAGCCGAGACTGAGTCGAACACCTCCGATAAGCTTCGCCTTCTTTCCGACTGAAGTATGGCTGTCGGCAATGCAGATCTCTAGAGCTCGGCGTTTTACGTCGTGAAAATTGACGCCTACTATAAGGAACTGTTCGTTCCACAGCGGGTCTTTTCCCTTTCTTGCCTTTGTTCTACACTTGGTCGATTTCTTAGCATCAGGTAGAAGATAACTACGGAACCAAAGATAAAAAAGGATAATTAAAAATAGCATCATCGTGTTAAGACCCGCGAAAGATTTCTGCTATAACCAACAGCGCATACAAATAGATAGACGAAGTTTGGGTCGAAAATGAAACGTTAAGTACCTGATTCGTGACTTGTGTGACTCGCTCACGTACACTGCATGTGACTATATTCGTATGTGAGGGCAACTCTTGTGCAATATAGACTACGCTACTGAGGTGGTGGAGCAAAGTTTACGCGCGAGTTTTGATTCTCTTACCACTTAGAGAAAGGCTCTGGCAAGCCATGTTTTCCTTGCGGTAAATCCATTCCCCTCAGCAGATGAATATGAAGAAATCCTTGGCCTGTGTTAGTGGTGTTTTGCTTGTAATGCCTTCCATCCACTTCAATCTCTTGTGAACTGCTGTAGAGCAGCCCGACAAGGATTCTGGGCCTTCCTAATGACTGAAGCGCCGGCTAAAGAAAAGAAGTAAGCGATGAACATGGTACAAAAACGCCAGAAAAAGGTCTTTACGCTATGCAGTTATACTTTAAGAATTTTAACCTAATAATAACATGTAGTCATTTATGATTACGTAGAATTCTGCTAGTGGTGAGAAATAGAAAACATGTACCGTGTTTCTATCGAGTTTTAGTATAAATATACTAGCGTTCTATCACGAATGGCGTTCTCTGATTGGCTACGCTACTCACTCTCTATTCTGATGCAGATAGTAGGTAGCTTAGAAGTGTACGCTGGGTGTCGCTTCTTTGCGTTTTCGAAGTTTCTTTGAAGAGGATTTAGATTAAAGTTCTGAACGACTACTAGATTTATACGAAAACGATTACCAGATTATTCGCTCTCGATTTCTATGCGTGATAGAAATCTCAAGCTTATAATTTAATCGTCAACTAGAATCTATTTGTAAGCAAATTTGGATCTATGGACTGAGAACGAGTTTGGGATAATCACTGATGATGTTGACGATGATGACACTATGATAAGATAAAAATGACGTAGTTAAACTCGTACGGAACGTGTACTCGTGCACAAAATATAACTGAGTTACCATCGTAACACACATAACAGCTGAGCAACCTGGCAGTCAATTACCTTAAGTATAACCTGAATGTCAAGCGGATACCCCATGCCTCGTAATATACTCTGTGGAAACAGCCGAGTAACCTGGCCAGGCTCTCCCACGAAATGAACAGTTAGAGCCAATTCCGATGAATTCTCCAGTTCAGTGTATGTGACGTAATCACTTCCTGAAGAGATTAAGACAAAGAGAAAGAGGCTGTCATGTATTTGCTTTGAACCCAGCTATTAAAGGAGCTCAATCATGGTATTTTAAATTATTTTGGCCAAGTACAGAATTACATTTACATCGAAGGAAGCCTAAAAATAGCAGTTTACTAAGATATAAAAACACCAAAGAGATAATAATAAACCATAAAGGAACAAGGATAATTAAGGATGGAGAAGATTAACACGGATTACAAGCGACTAAATTGAGAATTTTAGGCTAAACTTTCCAAGATGCGCCAACCGTGACGTAGCTTCTTTAAACCATTTTCGAGTTGTTCATACCTCTGTTTCAAAACGAGTCTTGGCGCACAACCTTTCATATGGAATTGATTTTATCTTGCATGTTCATTGTCTTGCAAATCAGACTTATTTCCATATAAAAGGTGGTGCACCAGGACTTGGTTTAAAACAATTAAAAAGCAACCTGGAATTGGCTTAGTCTTTCGCTTTCTAAACAACCTAAGGTTTGATTGATGTATGTAGAACTTTGAGCCTCACCTATCGGGTACCTGACCCGTTTCTGTCCCGGGGTCCCCATCAGAGTAGCGACCACCTCTCCACCGTAGTCCTCCACGCATGACAGCCGAATGGTTACCTCATCCACCAACAGACCGCAGCAACCAAAATTGATGCGCCATTTGACGCAGCCTGTATTGGCGCCTGGCACTCTCTCCAAATAAACCTGCATCAAACAATTCAAAAGAGATCGGAGGTTTCTTTTTCTCCTATAAAGATATCGACTGCTGCTGGACAGCCTCCGGATCGGATTTCTAAACCTCTCTGCCAAAAATCACAGAGCAAAGAGAATAACGTGTAGTTGACCTTTCTAAAGCTTTTTCCGATTTACATAGAACACGGATTGATTGTTTCCACGTTTCTGTTCGGGTGTCCAGATGGAAACAGCAGAAACAACAGAACCATCATTTGTCTTTTATTACCTACGTTTATCATCTCAAGCATCCTCAGACCACCCAGAGGCAATTAGTAAGAATTGGCGCCGGACGAAGTAAACGAAGCAAAATTTGAAGCGGCGAAATTTTAAGCGTTTACCACCTTCCTCCTCAACTAACTGCCCCTGGGTCTCCGAGAACGCATTCTGTACCAGCGAATTACCACAGCAAAACTTGAACAAGCATTGCGTTAAGGCCAGTCCTTCGGCTCGAAATTGAGAATGTTTACTGTTTTCTTGCTGAGACCAGCATTGAGCAAAATGGTTCTTCTAAAGCAAAATTGCTACGCGGTCAAATAGCGCGTAAGACTTGAACGAGAGTTCAAGGCCCAGGAGGAAAACAATCATTAGGGAAAATAATAAGGGAGGCCACAAATACACGAAAAAGAATAAATTCTTGGTCTTCAAAACTCCCTCTTAATAGACGGCTCAGAATAGATCTTAAAGTAAGAAATTACCTGCCCAGCTTCTTCGTTGATTTGCCGATGCACGGAGTCCACAGAGTACAGGACCTTGTCCCATCCCGAGATGACCCCCTGTGAGGAGGGGTCTATAGCATCTGACCAGTCTCTATAGTAACTATTACACGTGGTGCTGTAACGCAACCGGAATCTGGCGGGAAAATAAGGATCTGTGATTGGCTGCATAAGTCAATGACTTGAGCTCTCTTCACATTTGTGTGCGTGGCATGGCATGGTTCGGCTTGACATGGAATGGATTAAAATACATTGTAAGTGTCTTAGTAATGTTAAATATCGGCATGGAATGTTTCGACTCGAAGCTCCAAGGATCCTCTCATGAAAGTGACGTACGCTTGTCGCCAAACAGGCAAGTCTGTTATTTATTTTTTCTTGTTTCTAAATGCGAACCAATAAACCATTTAGCTGTTGCCTCTGTGTCAAAACGAGGCTTCCTATGAAGCCATTCATATGAAAATGTGTTTTGCCTACAGGTTCATTTTCATGTAAATCAGACTCCTTTCCATATGAAAGGTTTTGTACGCGGACTCATTTTGAACCTGAGGCACAAGGTAACTCGGAAATAGCCTATTTATAACAACGTCTCGAGTAAAAGCTCTATCTCTGAGCTTTTCTGTCACATTTTAGGTGTTTCGCGTCAGTTATATTCTTCGAATTAAGATATAGGCACTACAGTTCCCATGGAAACCAGTGACGAGAATTTCCATGTTGGAGTATCAAGTCAAAAATTTGATAAAGTGAATTTTATTTAATGAACACATTTTTCCAAATACAAAATCATTCACTGTGTCTCCGAAGGGCCCGGATTTCCAATTCGTTACTAATTCCCCGGTGCCGCCATTGCACTTTGCACTGAGGTTCCAAAAGACTAATTTCTAACAATTTGAGCGACTTTACGTCCGGAAGAAAAAACTTTTTATGTCAGTCATTTTTTAGTTTGCCCAAGGGCGTCCTATTAGTTTATTTAAGGGAACAATAATGTATTTTACCTCTTTCAAGTCATTTCTGTGACTAAGGTGATAACAATGTATTGAATGAACGTGACGAACCATCAGCTGTCTTCACTTCTAGAGTTTTCCTTCACTACATCGTTAATTATGTTAGAGGTCGGCTGACTGAAATTGATCAAGTTCGAATGCGTCTGTATTGAGTCATACAATGTGAATTTTAAGGACGAGAAACAGTAGAACTCGCCGTTATTTGTGTTTGTAATAAACGGCTACTGGAACACAAACTTATTCATAGCTTTGTAAACTTTCTGTTAGCATTTGGTGGACTACAGTGTGCTCAGTAAATGCTATTGAATGAAAATCTTTTAGTAAGCTATCTTGTTTTTATCGATAGCAATTTTCAAGGAGGCAAACAAAAACATGATTAAATTCAATTCAAGCCAGTTAAGTTGAAATAAAAGGACGTTTTTTAATATATACTGCGTGGGCTTTTGTATTCCGCGATTTGCATTTGAAGCCGGATTAATACACGAGTTACTTTGCGTGCATTTTCCTGCTGATTTCTATTCGGCTCTTTGATTGATAAAACACAATCCCACATAAACAGCATTCTTATGTATCTCTATAGTTCAGTTGATAACAAAGACAAAAACGAGAAAACCTTTTTTTTTGAGCCACCTACCTTGACTCGATAACTTCTTCTTTGTTTGGGGTAAAAGTGTAACTTGACGGCAGCTAAAAAGTAAATAACTTCAACGTGAGAATATTGTTTAACACGAAAACGGATTTTTTCCAAGTCAAATCTCAGGTTTAACACTTGCACGAAGATCATACCATAAACATATTGCCGATGTTCTGTTGTACATGGGATCTTCACGAACTCGGTCGTGATTGTGTGGTTCCAAAACTTTAACACAAATGATCACTAAACACTTAGCTAGCGATCTACAACTTGAAATCTAAACATTCATCACAGAATAAATGAAAACCTAAGCTGTCTTCCCCTCGAGAACGCCAGCGAAACTCGGTTCAGCGACTCATATTCAATTTGATTCCGAGTGATCGAATGCCAGCGTTCGCTTTGGCTGGGATTAAAACTGATCGATAATCATCAATGTACGTGTTCCGAAGCTTTCAGAACCTTAAAGAGCCTATTCAATATGAGAATAATGACCACAGAGTTCCGGGCTTCACTTCGCCGCTAGAATAATAGTTCATTGACACTAAGAACTGGAAACCCATTCAAGTCACCGTACCCAGCAAGACACATCAAAATACAACCGTGGCATTCTCCGTTTCCTAAACGACTTGGCTTTGAAAAACGAATTTTCTTCCCCGTTTTTTTCATCTCCTACTTGTGAAGTAATTAAAAAATCTCTCTTTTTAAGTCAATCATGCATTTTAATTGAGGAAGCTTTAACGATTCAAAATCTCCATTTCGAATTTTTATTTCCAATGGTAGTAATATAGTTTACATCAGATCAACTGTGCAAGTTATTGAGCATCAAAAAACCAATATACCTCAGACAATTGCTGTGGATGAAAATAAAAATGAACTGATATATTCAAAACCTTTCCTAAGGAGTCTTAATAGAATCATGGTTAAGTGCCCAGGTGTCAAATGCGTCTGGATTCTCAGGTTGCAGAATCCATTTCCCTGCGTAAACGCTTCAATTGAAGTGGAAAAGTGACAATCACAAGCCTGCAGCTTTTGATTTGTTGGAATAACAGAAGAGTAGAAAAACTGACAGTCTAAACAAACGCCCGCAAAGCGAGACTTTTTTTATGATTAACTGTCTGCTTTTGTCTCCGAAACAAATAGGTAAAATCTATTTAAAATTAAGATAGCGGACCAGAGTCGAGACAAACAAAGTAAACATTTCTTCAAACAAAAGTGGATATATACTCAATTGTTAGAATGAAATGAAAATGTAACGAAAACAGAAAGACAGCAATAAAGAACATGATCCAAAACTTAAAGAAAAAAATTTTATCCTTCCTCTGTTTCTCGTTCCAGGAACACTCGGTTCAGCCAGTTCGCGTTCTGTATTGGGAACTTTTGGCATTGGAAAGCCGGAACAAAAACCATAAGTTTTAAAAACGTCCATATTTACCCGAATTATTTATGGCAAATAAAAAAATTAAATGACTTCAAATAGACGAGACTAGCTGTTGTTTGTGACAAACGAGGAGTAGGAAGGAAGATTTCAGAACGAAATAAGAAATGAGAAAGATTAAAATAAGTAAATAAACGAGCGACCGAGAGTCAACAAAGGATGGTCGAGTAGCAGAGTGAATGGGGAAAACACAGTGGTAAAATACATAAGTGAACAAAGTTGCTGAATGAACAAGTAAATTAATTTTAGAAACGTAAACAAAGAAAGCAGGGAGCCGTCAAATAAATGAACGAACCAAAGGGTTCTGCTCGCTTACCATTTGTGCCAGATTTTCAGTCTTTCAGTAAAGTGAATGGTGTTATTTTCAGCTCAATGCACACTTTTCATTGTTAAAAATACACAATAGCAAGAGGAAATGTTTCTCTTGACAATAGTCCAGACGTTCCCTTTGGAAGGAAATCTTTATCCGGCGAACGTGTTAATTGTTATGTTAATAACTCAACAGTTTTTAATTTTTTCCTGTTGTCGCCTTTTATCTTCCTTCAAAATTGATAATTTAGCAGGTGGTAGTCGCTAGCTATTGAATGAGTTTTCCCTCAAAAGTTTGTTCTAGAAATAATTAACTCTGAATCTCATGAACCGTGAATCTGAGTCTGAGATGGAAAATTATGACAGCGTCTGAATAAGAGTGCTGGTATGACAGTTGTCCGTTAGATTTTCGGCGAATTCTTATCTAAGATTTCGGTGAAAAGTTTAAAATTTCAGTAAATTTTGCAGGTCTCATATTTCAGCTATCACCTTAAAAAACGTTCTCAGAAGACAGTTAAACCCTATACCGACCCCCTTAGGCTTCTTCCACACTACGCCGGACGAATTTGAAAACGCAACAATCACCGGTCATTTTGGATTTGTGTTTGTGTGAAACTTGGGCAGGGAAATCACATAATTATCGTGGTCATCGTTTTCGAAAAGCTTCATTTTCAAAATGTTTTCTGTCCACACTAAAACGCAAAGTCAGCGTTTTCATATTTCACCGCTTTGAAGAGCGTTTTCGAAAAGCTCCGTTTTCTTAACGGATCAGTGTGGACGGTAGGCCTAACCGTAGAAATAAAGCCGCGTTTTCAAATTCCTCTGACGTAGTGACGACGGGGCTTTATAATCAACGAGTGAACGACTTCACGGACTGGTGTACGCCAAACAACACCAACAACAAAGAATGAAGCAAACAAGTTAGTGATCTGCTGCTGCACACTTGAGAACAATGAAGCCAGTATAAATACTCACCACGGAGGGAACCAATGCCTTGGTGCGAACAAGAGATGAAATTTGTTTCCACTTTGACATCATGGTTTCTAGTGTCTTCTATTTATGCCCCCGACAATGATAAACCTCTTATCGCTGTTATGTCATCTTCGCGTCAGGTCAGACAGAGGGAAAGAGATAGACACGAGAATTAGTGGCTGGTAGAGTAAAGACTAAGAAAATGAAAAAAATAGATATGAATAGGCCACTGTGGTTAGGGACCAGAACAATGGCAAAGAAATGAAAAGGCTTAAAGGCTGGTTTTCACTAGCGTACAAACACACGCAGACGCAGTTAAGGAAGGACCATTATTTTTTTGAGGGGGTGGGGAGGTGGGCAATTTTCTGGTTCATGAAATTTTTTTCTCACCCTTACGTTGTGCATGATTGTTTTTGGTAGACAATAGTTTGTGCAAGAATCTTTTTAAAGTCACACACAGAACCAGGATTGTAGAAAGCACTTGCTCGGTTTTTTTCCCATGGCTCCTCTTGCACGATTTTTTTTTTCAGTCGTTTTTGCTGTGCAGGAATTTTTTCGGGGTAATTGCCCACTCCACCCTGCCCCCCTCAAAAAAATAAGCGCAAAAAACCAGAGAAGAACATCACGTGTATATACGTGAATAATTAATGAGGAACGATGCGCTTAATAGCTTTGAGAATGTAGGATATTCTAATGAAGAATTGAGTAAATGGAGATTAGAATCACACGCGACATTTGACGTTCACCTCGAACGAGTTGACAATAAGATTGGAAGGAATATGACGGCAGATATATCATAACTTGGACAGCAGATGTCGCCGTGGCCAGTTTCTGACGTTTCTGTGAGGAAATGCCAGAAGTTTTGTTGCAAGAGCGTGACATTCGCACAGTTGAGAAGATTGATGAAAAACATATTATGGCGGCGGATAAAATTATTTAAATGATGTTAAAGTGATTAAAAGCTTTCTAGATTAATATTTAGAATTTCAAAACAAAGCGTTGAAGTCATTAACAAGTGGCGAGGATAAAAACAAAACACTTGCAGTGAGTGATAATAATGGATAGCGAAAGGATTACCTCCTAAATTTTTAGGCAGCACGGTTTACCGTTTTTCTTTTTTTTTT